CTGCAGCTAACTTCATAGACGTGATCATCACCCGGCAAATTGCCTCGGACAAGGATGCAAGGGAACGTGGCTCTCAAAGTTCAGACTCTTCTAGTAGCTGTATGTATCTCAATCTGAGTTTCACAATGTGATATCTGAGTAGAGAATTACTTTATTCTTTAGGTAAAACAATTCTGTGGTATAAAGTAGTCTCCTAATGCTTGACATTAAATGTAAGATGTTTCTTGATTGATCAGTGCAAAAATGTGTCTTCTACAAGGTGATTTAAATATCTTGTTTCCTAAGTTTAAGCTTACTGATGTATGTTCCACAAGAAAGCTATAATTTTTATGGAGCCAAAGTTGTAATGTCTTTAGATAGAGGACAGAGCTTATTAACATTATTTAGGCATTTGAAGGATGAGAGATGTACCATCAAAACCTGTGCTCCTGCGGTATAATTCCTCAGACATCATTTGTGAGGACATATGGTTCACGATATAGGGTGATCCCTCAAAGCCTCTTAAGTCCTTTATCTAAATTTCTAAAATGTCTAGATTATTACAAAGGAAGACTACCTTATTATTGGTAGTTGCTATTTACTTTGCACCTTTCTTGGGTTTTGGTCCAGTCTGATTAGTCATGGTGATACATGCTCTGCAAGAAAAAATTCATAAATCTTTCGGTAAAATGCAGGAAAAGTTTGTTTATAAAATGTCTTTGTTTATAAATGTCTTTTAGACGTGCATGATGGTGCACATCTGTAATCCCAGCACTTGGGTAACTGAGGCAGGAGGACGGCTGTGAGTTCAGGGCCAGCCTTTTTTTTTAACCATTTCCTAAATTCTGTATGGAATTCAAAAAAAAAATTTTTAAGCAAGTAGGTGTTAGTACTTGAAGTAATATTAATTGTATAGTCATCTGTCTGTTATCTCCATTACAGAAACAGAGTAATAGTGGAGATAATGAAAAGTTTCTTGTACAGCAGTATGCAATTTGCAGTTGTTTTTACCTCCAAATTTCCACTTGTCTAATTATAACTCATTCAAGTCTGTATCTTCACATTGCTGAGATTGAGAAGAACGTTTAGTGTATTGTATAGTGTACAAGAGACTTCCTTTTAACTTGGGACTTGGAAAATCTACACTACAACATAGGTTTTCAACATACAGAAAACTGCTACCTGAGAAAGAGGTAGTTTTATCATCCTGTATTTTGCAGGGGACTTTCCAGTGGGCATAGTGACTTCACTTGGGGTTACAGAATGAAAATTGGGTTGCCAAATCACATTAAAATACTTCTTTTTCATTTTGCATGATAAATCAAACCTTGCTCTAGGAGTCTTTTCAGCAAATCTGAACATACAAATCACTGGTTATTTTCTGAGTGTTCATGTTTCTATATGCAATTGCCTTTTTATCACTGGGCAGTTATATCAAGACCACAGGTTGTAAACAGTTATTCAGGTGGTTTTTCAGTTTGACTCAAGAGCCTTCTCACTGTGGGAGAAGCGCATTGGTTTACTTTGTCTCTGTGTCTTCAAGAGCAATGGGAACACAGTCCAGTATCAGACTTGGTGGAGGGTACTGGGACTCGAACTCAGGACCTCACACTTGCCAGATAGGTGCTGTGCTGCGAAGCCAAATCTTTGGCTTCAGACTTCCTATTAAGAGTATATTATTGTCAGCAGTTTTAGGATGCTGATTTATAAGCATTGTTATTAATGGGTACAAAAGTTGCAAATTACTGTAAATTGCTTAAATTGTAGTGATATATTCTAGATCCTCATGATTATTTCCATCCCGTTTATGAGGTTTCTCTTCTCATGAACCCAGGTAATTGCAGCATCCATGACCTGTTTGGGGGCAGAAGGGTCAGACAGTAGAGGAGCAGGTGGTAGCACAGTAATAGAGTCTGTTCTAAGCTTTTGTTTGCATGTCCAGCCAGGGTCATAGACCTTTTTCTCTCTTTGGTGTACTTTGTAGATGCAAAGAGCTCTCTAAATTTGCAAGGTTCCTAAGCAAGTTAGACCTGTTGCTAGTTCTGGGTTCTGAGCCTAGGGTAGGACTGTGACATCCTACCTAGGCCCCTTCTGCATAGCCCGTTTTCTTGGGAACTGCATTTTAAGGGGGCTGTTGTCTCATGTGTGTGATATCCAGTTGGTTGATATCCTACCTTTCTGTGAATTCATTTTTATTCCCTATTCATTTCTTTTTATTTGTACAATATACTACAGTGCAGGAAAATTGGAGTAATTTTTGTCAGTACTCCAGTTGAGATCAGTGTACAATATTACATAACCTATTAGCTCTAACATTATGGTAATGAAGCTGGTTTATAGCCTCAAACTGTTTGTACAGATGGTACCTGAGAATTGGAATATTGGATTCAATTAACCATTGACATACACTTTTTCATTTGTTCATCTTCTCTGCTGAGTGCTTCCCAGTGATTTTTCAGCTCTCAAGAGAGTATCACAAATTTGTTCTCTATTCAGCCACATCTTACTGTTTATTATGGGCTTTTTAAAGATGATCATAAGAGTTCACAGAATTTTAGAAAACTCTGTACTTCACTGAGTTTATATACAGAGGCACCTTTGATACAGTCCAGTGGACTCAATAAGTCTCATCATTAACCTCGGTGCCATTGAATATTTTTGAAAATTCAAAAACTAAAATATGAAAATAGGTTTGTAGAAGTTGTTCTTTTGGAACTTTCCATGGATTCATTTTAAAATAAGACTTCTTTTCTTGAAGTATCTTCTCATAGGTATGAAACACCTAGTGATGCTATTGAGGTGGTGAGTCCTGCCAGCTCACCTGCGCCATCCCAAGAGAAACTGCAGACCTATCAGCCGGAGATTGTTAAGGCAAATCAAACAGAAAGTACGTCTGTCTACATGTTTTCATTTATCATTTGCTTATCTAAGTTACTTTAAGATATCTTTTTTACGGTAATCTATGAATCTGCTTGAGAAACAACTGCAGTTTAAAAGTGTAATAATGAAAGCTTTGAGAGGGGTGGTTCTGGCTTAAACATGTGATCTCATGTGTTTTAGGCAAGCATTTTGCCATTTCTAGGACCACTTGAAAAGCAGTTTTCGCTTGCAGTATTGAGAATTGAACCTAAGGCTTTTGCACTAAACTCCCTTCCCCAGTCCTTCCCCGCTTCCTGAATTTCTAAATGCTCAGGCTGAATTCTAACTTGCATGCCTTCTGCCTCATATTCCCAAAGTGCTGGGATTACAGGCATGAATCATCACACTCCCATGAAAAAGCAGGTTTTGACTTGTTCTTCTTTGTCACAGACGAATGATACAGGAAAGTTGATATTTTCTTTCCTTACTTCTGCGTTCATTTTATTCTTAGTCCTCAGACCTCCACTGGTGAATCATTATCTTTTGCTTCAAAATTAAGATACCTACATTCTGTTTGTAGAGATCCATGCAACATCCTTTTCACATGTTCTTCTGAATTACATTTACTCTTTGATGAATGAAAAGTGGGGACAACTCTGGAGTAAGACAGCTCTCTGTTCTGTCTTAAGGCGACCCCACCAGACAGTATGAAGGACCACTGCATCACTATCGGCCACAGCAGGAATCGCCATCTCCACAACAGCAGCTGCCCCCTTCCTCACAGGCAGATGGGATAGGCCAAGTGCCCAGGACCCATCGGCTTATCACACTTGCTGATCACATCTGTGTAAGTTTTTTTATTATCAGTATTTTGATTATATATAAAGCAGATTTCTTATAGAAAGTAAAAACCAGTTAAAATGCCCTATTTTTCAATGGTTTGGGAGATAACATGCCGAGTTTAATCACTTCCTCTTCTCAATTCACAGCAAATTATCACACAAGATTTTGCTAGAAATCAAGTTCCCTCTCAGCCTCCCCAGCAGCCTCCCACTTCTACATTCCAAAATTCACCATCAGCTTTGGTGTCTACACCTGTCAGGGCTAAAACATCGAGTCGCTACAGCCCAGAATCCCAGTCTCAGTCTGTCCTCCATCAAAGACCAGGTTCCAGAGTCTCTCCAGAAAATCTTGTGGACAAATCCCGGGGAAGGTACAGTCTTTACTGTGAACTATATGTATATTTCCCAGCATTAAAACAGTTGGAAAATAGCTGTAAGAGAGGGGATTAATTTCTTACACAAGTTCATTTGTAAATTGGGATTTTTCCTTTGTGTATTCTTACAGTGTCCGCTGTCCAGGCATTTTGGTACTGTCTTTTTAGTGAATATTCAACAGTTGGTTCTTGTATTGTTTATGAAGTAATTTGGTAGTAATTTAGGGGTAACTGAGTTCTCCTTCAGAATCATCTTCCAAATTTGGTGTGATGGTACATGATATCTGTAATCCCAGCTACACTGGAGGCTGGGGTAGGAGAATCATGAGTTTGAGGCCAGCCTAGGCAACATCATAAGTGTCTGTCTCAAAAACAAAGAATCTGTCACTCTTCATGTCACTCACTGGTTTCTGTTGGGCCAGCAGTACTAGACCTGTAAGAAGGTGACATTAGGGGCTGGGGATTTAGCTCAGCGGCATAAGCACCTGCCTTATAAGCAGACAGTCGTGAGTTCGATCCCTGGTACCGATTAAAACGAAAAAGACCAAAAAAAAAAAAAAAAAAAGTGACATTAAATAAAGGTAGGCATCATGAGAAGAAGCATTTTATCTGGAAGGAATATCTGATAAAGAATGTTTTCTTACCTGATATTCTGTACTTGGATTGAAAATAAAAGGATGTAGGGTCTTTAGTTCAAAATGGTAGACTAAACATCAGCACATGTTAAATTATAGTTAAACAGCACACAAAGCAAATTAATTCCTAAGAAAGCCAAGACCAAGCATGAAACAACAGAGCAAAGATTCTGGCAGGTATCTGCATGATACAGAGCAGATGAACAAGAGTAGCGGTGGTCATAGCTCAGAACATGAAGATGGAAAATCAGCAGAAATGATTATCCAACCTGTCTACAGACCCCTGAAAGTTAGCAAAAAGACAGAATATATTTTTAAAATTTTTTTTTAAAAACACTTTACTGCAGAAATTTTCAAATACACAAATGAGTGCATATTCAAAAGTTGGTTGTTACAATTGTGTAATACTCCATACAGGATTATTTTGAACCAAAGCTGGATGCTATTAAGGATAAGATGGACACAATTATTCTCTATAACCAAAAAAGAAAAAGTATAGTTATTAATGAAAAACAGCTGTTTTTACAGTGATGGTTCATTCTTTATGTAAAGTCCTGTATAGCATATTTTGAGCAATGGATTGCATTTATTACAAGAAAATTTGCTTTTTTACTTGCAATTGCTATTGTCTCTATACTTGTGTATCTGAGTGAAGAATGTTATATTTCTTTCATTGATTGTAGTAAAATTACCTGGATTTATAGTTTAAATTGTTCACGTACTCTGTAAGCAAAACAGAACAGTTTTTTTCCACAGTTCTACAACAGGATGTGAACATTATAAGTCAAATACAAAAGGTTGAAAAAAACGTTGGGACATGGACGTGGGATAGACAGGGAAGAGAAGTAGATGGGTGTGTGTGCCAGTTTCTTCACTTTTCAAAAAGAGAAAAGTAGATGGTTAAAGTGTGCTGCATAAAGTTAAAAACAGATAAACTAAAGGTTAAAATGGGCACAACAAGGTTAATAGCATCTATAAATTTAAGATAGCTGATACTATGTCAAGTTTGAAATCAAAAAGTAAAGGACTAAGATTAGAGTTGCAGAGATAAAACACCAGAGGGACTAAAAACAATTGCCAAGAATTAAGAATTGGGGCTGGTTTGGAAAGGAAATAATCAAATAGTATTTTATTAAGTGCTTAACTACAGTAGCAATGGATGCAGATGTTGAATGTCACAAGTGGTGCTTGGTATGCATAATCTCAAAAACTTCCCTTGCAGGGTGTCTAAACTGTATCTCATATTATCCTTAACAATATGGTATCCAGAGGAAAAACATAAAATTGCAGAGAACCTCTCAGTGCTAAAATGGTTTAACTAGAGCCTACATTTAACTAGACAAAACTCTTTACAGGTCAGTTTAATACTTAAGTCCTTACCTGAGAAATTAATGAGGAAAGACCTGTTACATTATGAGTTAAAATAAGCAGTGAAACTCGCAGGGGTTCACCTGGACAGCTGCCATCCGGTAGGATGGAGCCTGACGCTGAAGTATTACACATGCAGTGTTTTAGCATGGAGAGCTTTCGTTGCTGTTTTCTTTTGCACTCTAGTGATGTGCCTCTTCATCTGTGGAGAAAGCAGCACAAACTGTTTTTTGATAACTAGGTATTATAGAAAGTCACTAACCTTTGCTTCTGAATAAAATCGTGAGTTAACAGCTTCAGTTAAGGGTGAGCTCTTTTGGAACAAAGGCTAATTTACATATCGTAACAGCAGGCCTGGAAAATCTCCAGAGAGGAGTCACGTGTCTTCGGAGCCCTATGAGCCCATCTCCCCACCCCAGGTTCCAGTTGTGCATGAGAAACAGGACAGCATGCTCCTCTTGTCGCAGAGGGGTGTGGAATCTGCAGAGCAGAGGTAAGCAGAGTACTTCCCAGCCCTAGCTCTTGCTGCAAGAGGAGGCTTAGTGCCTTACAACATTTAGTTACCCTCTGTTGCCTTTTTTGTCTTAAGGATAGGACTCTCGGATGATCATTTTTGTTTTCACAGTGAGCTCATGCTAGTGGATTTTAGTAAAAAATACTGTATCTAAATAAAGAAAATTTACTCATTATTACTCTTAAAATTAAGTCCTTCTAAAATCTTTCTCAAAATCAAGTTTCTTGATGAGGAGAGGCCTGCAGGGTCACCCCTTGATTGAGTCAGCACAGGTGCTAGCTTGTTAAAGTGCCCTATGTATTATCTTTAACATTTATCCCCTTTTGTTCATTCGCTCCAAACTTCCCCAGAGTGGTTTGTCCGAAACTCACTTCAGGTCAAGCACTAAGTGACTAGTACAGCATTTAAATTCTCCTTGGACCAGGTTTATGCAGTTTCCTACTACTTAACCCTTATGCTGTATTCTGTGTTCCCTGAATTCCTTTCCATTGTTTGTTGGTGTCTTAACAATCATCCCCAGTGCTGAGAGGCGAATAGGTGATTTGCCCATGGTCAGACGGAAGGGACACTGTGAAGTCTAACTCCTCTCTGTTGATGCATCTCTTTGAATATATAACTATTATATTGTATATATTTATAAGCAAACAGATGCTATTGCTGTCTTCAGTGAAATGAAGGAAATTTACTTTTGGCGAAGAAATGGTGTTAAACATAGTTATCAACAGCCTTCCCTTCATATATTCTATTACCATCTCTAACTCTAACTAGATCTTTGGCTGCCTTGAGCAGTAGGGAAAACTTGTATTTTGTATCACTTCCACTGTTTTTTCTTGTTTTATTTTATTACGTCTGATGGTATGGACAGCTATTTTGAAGAAAATGATACATTATGGTGGCCATTACTGATTTCCCATCTTGTTTTGAAGTCCTCATCGCTTTGTTTTGTTCTGATTAGCTTTATTCTGTTTTGTTTTAGTCTCTTTAAAATAAAATTTTAAATATATGAATATTGGAATCTACCAATGAAATATGAAACCCTTTGTATTAAACTTAACTCCCGTGATAACTGGCTAACTTAATTGCTTACGTAGGAGCACTTTCTATTGTACAGTCAAGTATGCTATTAGTTGTAACTGGTGTACTGAAGTAATATTTAATTCTGCTGGAGTGGTAAATCATAAATAGTTTATGTTGGCAGCAACAATGGCACACATCCAAAATCCCACCATTCAGAAGGCTTAAGCATAACTGCTGTGAATTCGAGGCTAAGCTACATAGTGAGACTTGGTCTCAAAAGAAAAAAAGATAATGTTGTTAAGCAGAAAGCATCATAAGCTATTCCTGAGTTTTCCGATTATATTCATTTGCTGCCTTTTCTTTCCTTAAGAATCTCTATTGTAAAGTATTTCCCTGTTAATCTTAACTTTATGGTATCATCTTTGAGGGCTAAAGTTATTTGACTGTGACCTTACCTGACATACTAACTGGATTATAGTAACGTGGTCTTTCTAAAGGTTGTATAGGGTGTAGTTTTCATCAGCCATTGGGATCAGTTCTCGGTACTGAGTGTAACAGAGTGAACTGTGTTCCTGATAGGAATGATTCCCGCTCACCAGGAAGTATAAGCTACTTGCCTTCATTCTTCACCAAGCTTGAAAACACATCACCCATGGTTAAATCAAAGAAGCAGGAGATTTTTCGTAAGTTGAACTCCTCTGGTGGAGGTGACTCTGATATGGGTAAGTGGGATTTCTTTCATGAACCCCAAATGAACCATGAATTATTATCACCATTCTTCTATAATCCTTGAGCGTAAGGGCTCCATAATGCATTTGCCCAGTACATCTGATCTAAAGTTGCTCCCTAAATGTCTGCCAGTTCAAATAGTCCTGCCCAGGGAACATAAACATGCCCCTCTTTGACACTGTCCATTATTAATGTGGGGTTGGACTGTTTGATTTTGAATCCATTAGTTTCAGTCTTATCTGTTTGGATCAGCTCCACATTATTTCACACATCTGAAGATGTGTGCTGGGTTGCAGAGTCTTCTTGTAAATACCCCGTTTCCTCAGTGTTTCCTCACATCCTGGTTCTGAGTACCACCCCGGCTATGCCAACTGCTCTCTATCAAATAATACAAAATAGTGTAATACATCCTAAATTTGTCATTATTTTAACAGACCCTAAGGTTGTATTAGCTCTTTTTGTTGCCTAAGCACTTACAGTATACTTAGTGTGAAACGGGTGCCAAGGTTTCCCGGTGGGCTACCCTTAAGCCACACCTTTCCCTTCCTCTGCTTTTACCATTACTAGGCCCCAGACAGGGTGAGGCAATATACTTGTTCCAGTCCAACTACTTTTTCTGCAAGGGTCTATCTAGATCAGTTTAGTTGCTCAGCATTCACCTGAAACACAGATAAGTAATATCAATAACAACAGTGAAAGATTAACTGGCATTTACTATGCTAGACACCATTCTAAATGTATACATATGTACATTCATTTAAACTCGCAACCACCCCACATGCTACATTTAATTATCTCCATTTTGTAGATGAGGAAACTGAGACTCAGAGAGGTTTAATAACTGGCCCGGGTTACATTATTACTAGTAAGTATGTAACGGGGCTGTGGTTCAAAGTCAGGCATTCCAATTCACGCTTCCAGTGATGTGCTAACTGCCTTCTAACAATTCTGTACTCACAGCATCCTTAGCTTAATTATTGGTAAATACCTAGTCAAGCTCTGTTAGAACCTTTCCTTTGGATTAATGTGCACACATTCCTCAGAACCCTCCTGTACTGTTAACCCACAGCACTCTCACTTGTATGACTCCCCAGTCCAATTACATCCAGTGATAATGGAGGTCTACCTCCTATCTACCTTTTCTTTTCTGGGTGTCATGTACTAATCTAATGATCCTGTCAAAACAAGAAATGCCAGGTGGTTGTGTACTTGAATTCCTAACACTTTGTGATTAATAATTCTTGAACAGCAAAGAGAAAAAAGGATGAGCTTAGCATCGTTTGTTTGTGGCCTAATTTAGCCGTTAACTTTCAGATTCACCTTTTTAAGTGGTAACAAATGATCTCAAAGAGAAGTGGTAGCAAATGATTTCAAAGATAAATACTTCACGATATCAGAATTGCTTTGAAGCATATAGATGTCCTTTAGACAAATATTGGGGGTTTCTTGTCTACAGTCTTCAACAGTATTATGTATTATTTACAGCTCCTCTGATGTCACCAATAAGAATTCAGTGCCTTCATTTTCAGATTCTCATGACTCAAAAATAAATCTGTCAAAGTAGATCTAAAGCAGCTATCAGGAACTATCTGAACTTGGGTGTGGTCTATGCTCATCCTCGGCAGTTTTTGTGGAAGGAAATCAATCGGGAGGTGCCCGTACAGGCTGAAGTCTACTTTATGCTCTTACCCTTACTTTGTGTTGTACAACTTCACAGCAGCTTTCTAAATATACAATTTAAAAAACCACGTTTTACGTGGGAAGGTAGAGAGTACATCAGGACTAACAAAGATGCTTTACAGTCTAATGGGGTTTTTTATTGTTTTTAATAATTTCACTTGTGGAATGAGTAATTTGTATTAAGTAGTAAGCTCCTGGGAGCCCAAAGCACCTGTCCTCACTGGGAAACTGAACTGAAGGGATCAAAGCCATGAGCAACCAAGATAGTGCTGCTTTAGAGAACGGTCTCTATTCAGCTGATGAGCTTATTCATTTAAAACCATACTACATTAAAACTGTTAGATCTCAGAAGCATCAGACACGCGTCGTTTTTCTTTTTCAGAAATAGAGCACCCTTTCCCCCTTTAGATGGTGGATTCTTCTGTGTGGTTTTGTTTTGTTATTTGGGGTTTTTCTTCTCTCCTCCGGGCATTTCTTCTGTCTTAGAAGCTTAGTCTTGTTTTTGCCTAGCCCTTGATTATTTTTCCCAGGGCTCTCTTCTCTGCTCTTTCTCTTGTGAGTCATTTCATCCTGTGGGAGGCTTAAAACTGTGACTTTCATGCTGAAAATTCTCAAGTTTCTTTTTGGTTCCAGCCTTTTCTACTGTTAGTAAGTATCTGCAGTGATCATGTACTTTTTGAAACACAGCTCTTAGATATCTGTGTTTCCCCTTCATTCTTTTATTACATAAAAGTATCTATGTTAAATGCACACCTTCTAAAATGACCACTTGTAAAAGTCTGTAAGCAGAATGAATCAGTATTATGCAGTATTTCCAATATTTCTACTAGCTTTAACTATTCCTTTCCCAACAAAAAGGTATGATAAGCTATTTACAAAATGCTGTAATTGTGTTGATCAGGCTAACATTCATGAACATCCTCTTCTTCAGTTCAGCTTTCTCATTTACACTAGCGTAAGTCCTATACTGCCTCTTCTGTGCCTTCAAAAATGCCATTCTTTCTTAAACAAAGGGCCTTCAAAGTGTAGTAAACATCATAGTCACTTGAGTGCTTATTAAATTATATGAGTTACAGTGCTCCAGGAATGTAGAAATGCTGCATTTTTACGAAGTCATCCAGGTGATTGTGATTTGTATGGCTTTGGAAAATGTTTTTATCATTGGTTGAACTAATTGAAATTATCTCCATCTGACCATTTTGAATTTTTAAAAACATAATTCGAAGTAAAGGGTGGTGGTATAACCTGTAATCCCAGAAGTTTGGGGTACTTAGGCAGGAGGATCTCAAGTTCAAGCCCAGTCTAGACAACTGAACAATTAATGGAGAAGATATTCTAACCAAAAAGTATTTTTAAAAAAAGGGCTAGGGATGTACCTCAGTGTATAGGCCCTGGATGTAATTTCTAGTACTTTTTTTAAAAATTAATTTAAGATTTAACCAATAGTAGCTCAACAATATTTGTCAGATGAATGAATGAGTTCTATTTCACAAACTCTGTGGTAACAGTAAGGCTGAATTATTTGAGCTTCAGTTTGTTCACTTGTCTTACCTGGCCCATAAGTAAGACTGTCATCCGTAGTCACTGTTCTGTAGTTCTTCCTGGAGATTTTTTCTCCTTCTGCTCTTAGCAGTTTCAAATCTACCTAATGAATAAAGTGAGCTTCTAGGCACACTTACTGTTGCACCTTCACCGGAGGCTCTGCTCCTTAGGTTAAGAGTTGATCCTCCTGAAATCTCACCTCATGGGTTATTACTTGTTGAGGCGCCCACTTACTTCCTGCATTCTTTTTTCCATTTAAAATTTTAAGCATCAAGTTGGAAGCCATAAAGACACCATTTATGTCCCTAAATACCTTTCCCTCGTGGCACAAGATGCTTTGTAACTCCCAGGTCGCCTGTTGTTTCCATTCAAACTGCAAATTACAAGTTTCACAGCAGGACTTGGAAAATAGATAGGCAGAATTTTTTGTTTTATTCACAGGGTATGTGAAAATGTAAGAGTTTCCAGTTAGCCACAGTTGGGAAATACTGTCCTTTCCATACTGCATATTAACATAGCTTTCCCCTGACTCTAACTTAAAGCTCATTGGTACTTCAGCAGTCAAGTTAGAGTTTGAGGTTTATGTTTTACTAGGAAGCCAGGCTTCCTCTTCTGAGAATGACCTTTTTCTTATTTGTTTTTTCTCCAAGAGTGCAGTGTTTCTCTTTTTGAGTTTATATTACTAGTTTTTGTTTTGTGCCTCACCTGATTTTATTTCCCAATTTCCTTTGTTAAAGAAAAATGACTTCATTTTATCTCCACATAACTGATATAAAATAAAGGCTGAGATTATGGAAAGTACAAAGTTTAATTTTACTGCTGGAAATTTTTGAGACTTAATCAACATACTTGATTGCCTTATCTCAGTTAACTGAAACGTATGTTTAAATATAGCGGCTGCTCAACCAGGAACTGAGATCTTCAATCTGCCAGCAGTTACGACGTCAGGTAAGACTCAGAATGTCATTTACTGGTATGGGTTTGATTTAGCAGTAGTCAGTTCAACAAGTATTGAGTCAGGGAAGAGTCAGCCACACAGGGAGGAAATTGAGGTTCAATAAACATAGAAAGATAAATGAACGAAGACAATCAAAACTGTTTTTAAAAAACAGTACAGAATAGGCAACTGAAGAAAGCAATAAATTAAGTAACAGAAGTCTGGGTGACTGGTTCCCAGGGAAGGCAGATTTCCTTGTGTTACCTGTGGATGGAGACAGCCTGTGTGTTGGCCCTCATTGGTGTCCTAGGTAACTTGGGTTCAGTGGGCTGGGAGCGTGTATGCAGTCTGTTCATTTCCCTGTATCCTGAAACAAGCAGAAACGTACTCTTCCAGGTGCAGTTAGCTCAAGAAGCCATTCTTTTGCTGATCCTGCCAGTAATCTCGGCCTAGAAGACATTATCAGGAAGGCTCTCATGGGAAGCTTTGATGACAAAGTTGAGGATCATGGAGTTGTCATATCTCAGCCAGTGGGAGTAGTACCTGGTAGTGCCAGCACCTCACTTGTGACCAGCAGTGAGGCACGGAGGGATGAAGGGGACCCATCACCTCTCTCTGGTAAAGTTTTCATTTTAGTGTTGTTCTGCTGCCTTCCCTGAAAAAAGCCAATTTACTTGCCAGGTTTTAATGCATCACTGAGAGATTCCAGTTGTCTTCATGGGTTCAGAAACACTTTTGTTCCTTTTAAATTTTTTTAAAAAAATTCTGACCTGGCCAGAAATAATAATTCTTATCCAGAATGTCACTGCCCTGGAATCAGCTTTTATTTTTGTTTGTATCTAGTTCTTACCATTCATTGTAATGACAACACAAGTATAATTTCATATTGCTTCTGAATAAAAGTGACTTAGGACTGTGATAAAAATGATAGTCCAGGGATAATTTTAATCCATAGGACAAAAAAACCCCACCAACTCCAGTCCATGAAATTCTATCAACCAGAAAGCTAGTGCTAAGAAGACTAGTCTGATCATTTTTACTTCCTGTTAATAAAACCAAGCATACAGAAACCTTTAATTGTTGCTGTTTGTATATGACCTTTTTCGAACAACTAGTATCTTTTCTACTTCAAAAAATTACCTGAAGCAATATTTTAGTTTTGCTTTAGGGCTATTTTCCTTTGCTATCTTTAAAACAAATCTCATTATGATTATGTAAAATGAGATTAGAAGTTGCTTTTTGAACAATTGACATGTAACTTGAAAACTGTGAATTTCTAAGATTTTTTTAAAAAACTAGCATCATGTTCCTGTCCTTGCTCTTAGTTTCTCATTTTTAGTAGTTTTAAGTGTAATACTGATGGCTGTTACAGGAGTACAATGATACTGGCTGTCTCGGATGTGAGATGTGTTGCTACCGTTCTGCTGGGGCTGAGGAACAGCTGTGCTGCTGATCTGAGATCGTTAATTTTTTGTCCCATAATGAGTTTCATGCAAAAACAAAGGGCCACCAAGACTTGCAGAGTCTCTGCTGATGTCTTGCTGCTAATACAGGGTATTAATTCCTCTGCTTGCTTACCCTGAATTGGGGGAACAGGACAGAGGGAATGTAGGTAGGTAGTAAGAGTCTAAGATTGTGTCAACCTTTTTTTTTTAAATTTAGCATAGCTTCCATGTCAGCCAGTAAAGAAGCTTCTGTGTTTCAGGAATTCTGTTTCCTCGGCTGCCAGAGTTTTAGTTTATGGCATTTTGGTTGTTGTAAGTGAAATTCTGGCTTTTAAATAGTATTCTTTATTTCATCAGCTACTAGGATCTAGAGTCTCTTTTTCCTTTTTATTGGTACCGGGATCGAACTCACGACTGCCTGCTTGCAAGGCAGGCGCTTACGCCGCTGAGCTAAATCCCCAGCCCCAAAGGATCTGGAGTCTTTGTACTGTCATTCTGACTTGTTTTAGCATAATTTAACTTAAGTTTTACTTTTAGGAGGTGTCTGCAAACCAAAGCTCATCAGCAAGTCCAGCAACAGGAAGTCTAAGTCCCCCATTCCTGGGCAGGGCTACCTGGGAGCTGAACGACCCTCCTCCGTCTCCTCCGTCCACTCAGAGGGGGATTACCACAGGCAGACACCAGGGTGGACATGGGAGGACAGGCCCTCTTCTACAGGTGAGGAGCTGGGTTTACCCGGCAGAAAATGAGAGTTAAAGCAATTCACATGTATATTTTTGTTATCACTTACTCAAATAATCAGTAATATTCATAGTCTAGAAAACTTATATTCCCATTTCTGTATCATTTTTAATAGGCTCTACTTTGCAGAATAGAAATTGAATGCATATAATTTCAACTTTTACTGTAAGGTCTAAGAAAGAACTATGAAAAATCTTATCCCTTCTACCTATTTCTGTGTTGTGTTATGTTTGTTGGTAGCCAACATTTCCTGTTTGCAAAACAAGTCTGTGGTTTCAGTTCTTTCATGAGTAGCTAATGTTAAATACTAGTCCCAAGGTGACTTTTCCTTTAGCCTTTCATATGGATATTCTTAGAGAATGCTCTTAATACCAAAAAATCAAAATCAGAAATTTTTTTTAAAATTCTGTGGGTTCAAAATGTTTTCCATTTTTGTGCCTTTTTTTATAATGGTAGATTTTAAAAGGACTTTTTTTTTTTTTTTTTTTTTTTTTTTTTTTTTTAAGATAAAACTGGGCTGGGGATTTAGCTCGATGGCATAAGTGCCTGCCTGGCAAGCACAAGGTCGTGAGTTCGATCCCCAGTACCGCAAAAAAAAAAAAAAAAAAAAAAAAGATAAAACTAGGGTATTTGCTGTGAATTTTAAGGTTTCAGAGAACTCTCTGACTGTATGCTGCTGCCCTTTTCTCAGCAGGTTACATACACATACATGTCACACACATAAACCTTTCCCTTAAAACGTAAAAATGAGCTGGGCATAGTGGCACACACCATGGAGACTGAGGTAGGAGGATTGCTGTGAATTTGAGACCAGCCTATGCTAAATAGTGAGTTCAAGGCAGCTGGGGATATAGTTCACTGGCAGTGCCTGCCTGCCAGCAAAAGTCCTTAGTTTAATCCCTGGTACCAAAAAAAATTAAAAGAATGAGTACAAGACCTGCTTCAGCTACATAGTAAGACCAAAAATACTATACTCCATATAATAATATACTAGTACAGCTTAAGCTTTTCCTTAAATTTTATATTATTTTGAAAATATACGACTTAAATGAATTGCTTCTTCTCAAATGTCTTAGTAAAGGATTTATTATGAGATCACGAGGAAGACTACTTGATAGAATGTTTTATGGTTTTAGTTTCTGAGACTATGTTCTGGGGACAATTTAACCATCTAGAATTCCACCAATGGTAGCAGTGCTCTTTTTACTTAATGTCAAGATTTATTCAGTGAGGTTCTGTAGATCACATACATCTTGGTGCCTCTTGGTCTGCTTAAGTTCCTGGGTTCTTTTCTCTCTCATCCTGTGAAAATTGCACTCCTCCATCTGTTGTATAAAGTCCAGGAAGATCTTGGTGTAACCACACTTTAAGTTACATCTTAATACTCCATAGTTTCACTTGGTCCAGCTCTGGCCTTTTCTCTTCTGAACTTAACACTGGATAGGCAAACATGAGAGGGTTGCTATTTGTCCGTGTAGACCTGGACTGATGCTGCTGCGTATTGTTGGCTAGAATCTTAAGTGGTGACAATTTGGCCTATGTTGTATTGATTTTTTGTGGTATTATGGCAGATGTGTTAGAATAATCTTGTGCTACCCATCCTGTAATGGTTGGATTAGATGAAACAGCAAATATGCTAGTAACACTAAACATGTACTTTTTCTTTTGTCAGGCTCAACTCAGTTTCCCTATAACCCTCTGACCATGCGGATGCTCAGCAGTACACCGCCAACACCGATTGCATGTGCCCCCTCTGCCGTGACCCAAGCAGTCCCTCACCAACAGACCCGGATCTGGGAGCGGGAGCCTGCCCCTCTGCTCTCAGCACAGTACGAGACTCTGTCTGACAGTGATGACTGAACTGCAGAGTGGTTACTGGGGTCAGGGCCCAGAGAACGCTCCAGTGTTTGGTGGTTTCATTTTAATTACAGGTTAAAACCCAGCTTTCCTATGACTGTGCCCAAAGACTTTCAGAAAAGCCAGGGCCACAGAGATGAAGAAATGATGGAAATTCATATTGGACAGAAACAAAAAACCTGCCTTTGATACAGGCAATTCAGTGGGTTATCATAGTGGAGGGTTGAAATGTAGAGTTTTTAAAAAGTGGACAATTCCTGTTCTTACATCTGTTTGTAAAGAGAAAAATCACTCTTCTGTAAATAGATGACCTTTTTGCAGTGTATCCCCTTGCTGTAGTATTTGGTGTACTTATGTTCAAATCAGCGCATTACCATTGGGGGAATTTTTAAAGATCTTTTGTCTCTCTTTTTAACCCTTGCCTTCTCAACAACCTCATACAGCCCATTTACATGATGTTGGCTGTCACGGGCATTGTACTTTTATCTGATTTTCTTTCCTCTAAATTCAGCTTCCCAGTGATGTTTAAAATCTTGTGAAAATGTTTAATTTTTTACATGGACCCTGCTATAAAATCTGTACATTAGGGTCAAAAGGTAGGAGCAACAAAATTCTGCCATACTGTAAATTTCCAGTGCAGGCTTTAATTTTTTTCATTAGTAGCACTGAAAAATTATTATTGCATGGGTATGTTATACTTCAGTTTTTAAAGTTTTAAAGGCTTATTTGAGGCATACCTCACTGTTATGCACACTGGTAATTTAACCATGCCCCTGAGTACTCCTTTTCTTCTGCATCTGATGCAGTCCCACAAAGCTTTTGTTTCAAATAAATTTGACTGCCCTGTCCATAGCTACAGCAAATTGTTATTTAAGACTCTTCGTGTCACAGGTTTCTAAGGAGAAATACTTTCCTTCAAAATGATATGTATGATTTGGTTGAGTTATAAGAAAATCTGTAGATGATCTCAGGCTTTTTGACCTGCTTTGGTTCTGTATCCTAAACAAACCTTTTCCACCTCTTTGCCAGCACCTAATTTCTTTCCTTCTTTGGGACAGAAGTTCAGTGTTTTTAATGTTCTTATTTCACAGATCTGCAAGGTGCAAATGTAAAAGATTGAATTCTAAAATATGGTACAGAGGGCTCCATTTGATCCTTCATTTTTGTTGAATTTTCAGATTTTTCATATAATTATAGCATTTAAGCATCCTTCAATAGCATATAGATATGACAATTTTGGGAGAATGCCACTCATTACTGGAAAGGGGAAAAATAGCAGTCTCTCAGGATGATAAAAACTAGCACTTTACAGACTTTGAAGTAAACCAAACCTGAAGTACTCAAGCCTTTAAGGAAGCAGTTTTATAGTTAACCACTGACTGACATGCTCCTATCACCAGCAGCACTGGGGTCTCATCTGTATTTTACCGATGAAGACAAGCTTTACTCGTAAAATTCAGTAAGTGACAAACACAGGCCCTGCTCATGTTTGTTTAGTCAAAGACTTCCTGCTTGTCACTGATCTGCTTTCCTACACTTGAGGTCCTCAAAACAAACTTTAGATCAGGTTTAGCGGTCAGAGTTTCTCTTACTTGGAAAATTGATACATTTATATTTAGAAGTATAATTATAACATGAATGAAACGTGATGACTAAATGTTCTGTTGTCTTTTTTTTTGAGACAGGGTTTCTCTACTTGGTTCAGGCTGGTCTTGAACTACTTTGTAGCCCAGGTTGGACTCAAACTCCTAAGGATCCTCCTGCCATAGTCTCCCAAGTGCTGGGATTACAAGCGTGCGCCACCACGCAAGGCATTATTAAATGTTTTGAACAGTTTTATCCTCAGTTTTTTTCAGGTACTAGTAATATTCTAGAGCTTAATAGTTGCCAACTGACCCCAAAAGAGAATGTTATTTTCCTGTAACTCTTTGAGTGTCTTAATCTATTGAGTCAGATCAGCACCTAAGTTGATACTTTCCCAGTTCTAGTTGAGGACCCCAAGGCGAGCTGATGTTAACCACTCATCTCTACCCTCATCACAGCACTTGTGTGATTACTTCGCCTACTGTCACCTAGAGAAGACACTGCAGAATATGAGATAAAAATCCAGTATCATATCTTAGTTAAAACTGATGAAGAATTCTCATACAGCTTGCTTATTTATGGAATAAATCCTCAGAGGGGTGGAAGTTCACCTTACCATGATGCCAATAGCAAACACAGGTGTGACAGTGGCTGATGGCTTGTCAAAGCCAGCTGCAAACCAAGGCATATCTTTTGTAAGCTTAGATTCAGCTTTATGCTTTAGAACCCAGAAGTATGCTAAGGTCTCCCAATACTATTCAAAAAATATCATAACAGCCAGTGGTCCAGTGTGTGTTTATAGTTGAGAATTTCATGAATGTTTTCATTTTGGAATGTTGAGTGATTCTACTTTATACCCTAAAAACTCCAGACATTCCAGTTGAGAAATAAATTTCAGTTCAAAACAATCAGTAAAGGAGATCAATGCTCCTTTTGATTCACTATCTTGTTTTACACCAGGACAAATGAACTCCAATGAGAATACCCACCTTTTTTGTAAACTACTAGTCTTCCAGAAGTAGGACCATGAGCTAAATCATTGTGGAGGGCTAAAAACTTAAACATGGAGTTAGAAACCTTTTAGTAACCCTTGCAATTGTGAAAAAGTAAACATTCTCAATACACAAGGTGAGTAACTAACGTTAATTTTTTTTAATAAATTAAGGCTGGATTGCACTGAAAATCTAACCTCAAATTTAGACTTCACTGATGGAATTAGCTGGGTGACAAGTAATAAATAAGCCCAGATAGAAAGCAGGAAGAAATTTGTATCTGCAAAATTCAAAATTCTAGCTCTAATCTAATCCTGGAGTTGAATCTCTATTATTATTATTTTTCTATTATTTTGCTTTTATTAACTTCAAGTTATTTTTTTGTGAGTAACCCAAAGATTACTGGAATACATATTGTAGAGTTTCTAGTTTATTATGAAAACATTCTTCCAGTATTTACATAAGAACCAAAAATACCAGTTTACCAGTTCCAGCCTCCCAGCGTGCACACACACACACACACACACACACACACACAGGTATATCAACATCAATGTTTCTTTGCAGTGCCTATAAAAGCTTTCCCTCCTAGACAAATGGCTAGTTGCAAGTACCTGTCAATCCAGGTATCTTATATTTACATACTGTGAGGCAATAGGATAAATCTCTCTCAACATAGTGATCTATTCATTTAAACTATACCAGATTCCTCCCCCCATGGCTAAGAAAGAATCTTTTTTATTCCTCATTTATAGATGAGCGTACTGAGGTCACAAAATAAAAAACTCAGGACTAAATAGGGTCCAGTCAGGGCCCCACTGTACCAGCAATGCACAACACAATTATAGGTTGTTTCGTAATGCCCGAATTTTGAGTCAGAAAGTCTAGAGTCCAGCTGTGAGGACCTCTAGTCACTACCGATGTGAAGAGTATTGAATGCTAAGATAGTATTGACAAGCAAAAGGTTTTATCATTCCTCCCCTGACACCACCAGCATGCTCACCATTTTTAAACCAGGAACATAGTTCACTTTTATTTATAATCAAGTGGGTACTATACTCACAACTGCCCAATGCCCACTTTAAAACTTCATCTGGAATGCTGGTGACAGTGCTCCTTTATGCATTAAATCCCATACTGTGCTTCATGAAATAAGACTGTAGACGAAATCACTCACCATAATTCCCCTTTGCCATGAGATAAGTATCGTGGTCTGCCATATATTGACGAAGAGACGGGCAGTAAACCAGTGAACCAAAATCATACAGTAGAGATACCAGGTTAGTAACCACACCCACACCCCAAAGGAGAACTGGCTGTCTCAATCTGTAATTAGACTAGCATGAACAACACCTGTGTTACAACGGAGAGCATCACTTATCAGTCCTTAGAAGTAACAATTAATTGGGTCAAAGTTATTTTTCTTTTAGAACAAAAATGGCAGTGTGCAGAACTTGTCCTTCACCAAAGCTAAGGGGAGGAATCGTGAATATCAAGAACAACACATTGACATGACTGATCTGGGTACCACAGACACTGGAATAACTATTCCTGTTGATTACCAGAAATTACTCTCCCTACAACAAAAACAGATTCGGAGCTTGATAAAGTTAAGTCAAAGATCTACTTTTTCTCAACAGCTCAGCCAGTTCTTCCCTGATGTGCTGCACAGAAACCTCATCTCTTTTCAGCTCTGCTTGCTTCAGTGCTTCCTGGTAGATCTCTTTTGCTTGTGTGTATCGTTCTAAAATAGCCCAAAGAAAAGGAAGAAGAAGAAAATGTGTGTTTTCAAAGTGACTATAAAGAGAGTACTAATGGGGGCAGAGGTCAAGTGACAAGCCGACCTTGCTTCAGGTCAGGCCTGTTAAACAAGTGGCCTAGGTCAGATCTGACCCAGGTCTAAGAACTCCGAGACACTTGTGCTGTGGAATTGCTTGCTGCGTTTTTTGATAAGACATTGGGGCCCTCACAATGGCCTTCCATATCCAGCTGTCAGGTAGGGTACACTGTAGTGACGACCCTCAGAAACACCTGTAAACTAATACTCCGTCACACCAGGCTCACCAGCAGTGTGAGAACATTGAGGAATCTGTTACAAAGGTACTATCATTGTAGTTTTCGGTAAACTTTATACACTTCACAGACACACAAGTTATGTGATTGAGAAAAATGGTATTTCAACCGAATGTGATGTGTCTAACCCTTCTCCAACAAGCCTTGTTAAGGTAGGAATTTCCTCACTGTCACTCACCCTCTCTAACTACATTCTCACAAATTTATGAACTCAATAATATCCCTTTTTAAAACAGTCAAGTTTCCTTTGCTACTTACCTCTATGTATCAAAATTGCAGCTAGATTACTGAGTACCATGTGCAGCTCAGGATGATTTATCTGTCTTGCCAGATCTGACGCCCTCTGCATATAAACGTAGGCCTCATCGAAGTGCCCCTGTGCATCCAACGTAGTAGCCAGGTCACTCATCAGCACAATTGTCTGTAGATTAAAAACAAAAACTTGTTCTTTAAAAACACACACAATATTAATTTGACATTTGTTAAATTGTGAGTATATACAATCTCATCTTTCCTAACAAACATTCTGTAACAGGTGAGGAATGTCAGCCTTTTGCAAGTGTTTATCCTTCATTTCAGTAAACAGTATTAGTTCAACTTAGACAAATGATACAAGTACAGAAATTTGGGTCTGGGCATTACTAATCCAACTAATTATCACGTTAGAAGCACCAAGTGAGAGCAGCCCATTCAGGAGCTATTCCTATTCCCCATTCCTTTTCCCAATAAATGTTCCTACCCTGAGCCTCTGTTGTCCTTAGCATTCTTTTGACATCTGGGATCTTGAATTTGGAGAATCAGACATTTAGCATTTCCCCTGTATCACCTAGAAGGTCCCACTGAGGTGCCTGGAAGGAGACTCAGATACCTGCCTTTCCCTGGTGCACCCTCGCTTATGATAAAAAGAGGCTGCCAAGCTCCACATGATCATGCAGATGGACCCCAACGACAACTCTCCTGGGACCCACCAGATGTACCTTGTAAAGGGAGCTCACAACTGCTAAGCTGCAGCTTGGCTTTGGCGAGTAGGGCCCATTAGATTAGCTCTCTGGAGAAGGCCCACTGTGGTTTCCCCTGCACTGACCCTTCTCAGCCTGAAGCAGCTAGATGGGAACTAGTTCTCTTCTAAGGGGGAATACTGGAGACAGTTAAATTAGGCAGAAATACTGTAGGCAGTCAGACAGGGCTGAGCCCTCTAGGAAATCAGTGCAGAAGAAAAGAACACAACCCAACTGGTTGGAGGCCCATCTGAAGCAGATTAAGTCACAAAGGCTAGATTTACATATTTCCTTAAAGGATAAACAGAAATTTGAGATTATTGGCATCACCCTTTTGAGATTCCCCGTTACCTTATTATTAGGGTGGGTCATCCTCTCCAACCAGGACACTAACACCAAAACTACAGATCACTACCATTGGATCAATATTACTAAGCAACTACACTTGCAATCTTACTGGTTAATCACAAGTTTTGACCTAAATTGACCATGATTCTGCTCTATAAAACTTCCTTTGAGAAGCGGGCTTGGGAACCCACCTGGGAGCCCTCTTGTATCTCAGGAGCTATTCTCGTTCCCCATTCCTTCTCCCAGTAAGTTTTCCTACTCTTGGTCTCCACTGTTCCTTAGAATTCATTCTTCAACTTCAGGGAACAGGAACTTGGCATATTAGACATCTAGCACTTCCTCTGTATCGCTAGTATTATAGACAGCTAAATTTAGAAATATAGGCAGTCAGACAGGGCTGAGTCCTAGAGGTCAGTGCAGAAGACAGCTGTGGCTGGAGGTGCACTTGTTGAAAGTCAGACCTCAGGACAGACTGGAATGGCCACATTCATACACTTCCCCAAGGGATGAACAGCATGATTGATACTCCAAATAGGTATCCTGCGTATAACTCCAGCACTAGAGAGGCTGAGGCAGGAGGACTTCTGCCAAGGACATCCTGGGCTACAAAGTGAGTTCAATGCCAACCTGAACTGCATAGTGAAGCACTGTCTCAGAAAGACAGAAAAGACAAGCAGACAGACATCACCCTGGGTGCAGGACCAAGACCTCCGTAACCCATCCCTTCCAGTGAAGTCCTTATTCGTCTCACTCGCACTTATGAGGCGACTTGCTTCCCCATTGGATCCCCATTTAATCAATATTACCTAAGCAACTACAGTTTTAATTTTACTGGTTACTTAGTTTTAGCCCACTTCAAACCCACCTTGTGATTTTCCATTGGCTCAATGTTACCTAAGCAACAATACTTGTAATCTTATTAGTTAACCATCATTCTGTCCAAGTTTGTACCCATCTCATCTCTGGATTGTATAAAACTCCCCTGAGAAGCAGGTTCCCCGGAGCAACCATGTGGGACCCCCTTCTTACCCTCTTAGACAAAGCTTTTTTGTTTAATAAATACTTGCTACTCTTAAAAAAAAGGTTCAGCAATTTGGAGAAGCCAGTCCCCTAGCGTTTGTCTGCCTCTAGAACCTTACTGTATTATAATGCTGTGCTGCTGATCTTGAGGCTCATCAAAATAAAAAGAAACGTCTATTTTAGGAAGAATCTCATTAAGAGTATTTAAAATTTTGGTACTGATAAACTTGTATACTTTAATCCTCCACTGAAGTTATTCTGTAGATCCCTGATTCTAGTACTTAGTAATCTGAATTGTGCTTGCCATTGTATCTTGGTCCCCTTAGAGCACACTCAATACGTCCAAAATCCCTGGAGATCGTTCATAGCTCAAATTATTTTCCCAAACATTTCATATTCAGTGTAGTTAAGAAATCTTATGTTGCAGCTGGAAGCATTCATAGACTACCTCTAAGAATTACTTTGACAGAAGTCATATTTGAAGAAGTCAGATTTCAATTCAATGTATTTAAAGCTCTAACTCAAAATTTTGCATGTTGTGCTTAAATTCTGTAACACTAAATTTTAATGCTGTGTTTTAAAATTTAATGCTGGCCCAACATGGTGGAACATACCTACAATCCCATACTCAGGAGGCTGAGGCAGGAGGATCACTGCAAGTTCAAGGCCAGCCTGCCTCCACAGTGAATTCAAGGCCAGCCTGAAATACACAGCAAGACCCTGTCTCAAAACAAACAAACAAACAAAAAAAGCAGTTCCTCTTTTTCCTTGTTCCTTTTTTAACCATGGAACAAGGGAGGCAAGGAAATTCACTATTAACTTGATTCTTGTAAGAGTCTAATGAAATGGCTGCAGGGTCCATTCAGCACCAGCTCTGCACTGCAGCCAGAGATACAGAAACATGGGGCACCTAGTTAGATCCGCCTCATAGAAAGGTAGTCTCTTGTTCAATCCATGAATCATGAAATGGGTGGACTTACTACCTGACCAGCAACCTCAAATCCTGTGGCTACAGTAAAAACTGAATGCACTAACTAGGCTTGAGGACATGCCAACTAATTTTGCAATGAGGGTGGCATTTCAAGCCCATGGTTTCTCAAGACCGTGTCTTCCTTTGTTACCTGTGGGTGTCTTTCACCTTGTATTTCTTCAGAAATCTGCAGAGCTTTTTCATACATCCTCTGTGCTTGGGATGGCTGCTTGGAGAACAGAAGGTATCGTGCACAGGAATCTAAGCACATGCCCAGGAGAAGGTGGGTATTGGCTTTTTCTTCCACTAAGAAGAAAATAAGAACATTGTGGAGGTGACAAGTGTGTCATAGAAGGCAAAGCAAGAGTCAGCCAATCTACCTCATCATTTGGGTCACAAGAAGCCACAAAGGTTTCAGGCCACTTAGGCTATGCTGAAAAAAGATAACTTAGGCGATTTAAAATCCATGCTTTATTAGCTAAAATCATGGAACTTCTCCGTACACATCTTAAGCAGATTAACATTCTAAAGAGCAATGCAATGTAAAACTAGTAATTTATTAAAAGAGACATAAAAACTCAAAATAGAATCAACAACAAGAGTCTAAGGTCAATGAAACAGGAAAAAAATGCAGTAAGAAACTAGAGAATATTCAAAATTCTGAATGGAAAGCCTCAAACCAAATTTAAACAGTTATTACAGTTTTCAAGAGTAATAAAGGCTGGAATGACAGCACCGCTCAATACATTATAGAATCAACCACACAATGTCCGAAAAGGGATAAACCTTAAAAACACCTACCACCACATAAAAATAACTGAAGAAAGATCTAGAGACCAGTAACCAGTATCAGCTTACACAAGACTTCTGCAAGATGATCCCAAATAATGTGGAGAAGGCTGTACACAGCACAAAATGGCCACCATGTGAAGGACGACACGAAGAAGTGCCTGAATCTTACGGAACAAAATCAGCAGATGCCCAGCTGAAGAGGTGCGGCTGAGTTCACCAGCAAAGCTATCCCTCACTGCAAACCCGCTCCGTATCTTCAAAGCTCTCCAAAAATTTAGAACCGGCATACAATTTAAAGACTGTGCTATCAAATAAAACTGTGATCAATTATTGAAGAGAGTTTAAGTAAAACGCAGCTGTGGATGAGGACAGCTGCAGGGATAACAGGATAAAATAAAAAAATGAAGCTTCTCTTTCTGCAGAAATCTAAAGTTACTTGTTCTTGTGTAGTTATACATAAAACGCCAATACTAATCATGTTTTAAAAATCAAGGTAGGAGTAGTTTTAGATGTCTCATACATTTATGTTCAAAGAAACAATGTGCATGAAAATTATTTTTGTAAATATAAAGTGTATTAATTTATGAATAGAACTAGAAAAATAAAACAGAACATGATACCAACAAAATGTCCCATGTAAAGACACACTTCTTTACTAAAAAGAAGTATTAAGGCAAAAAATTACTATAGACAATCAAAAAATTGTTTTAAATATTGAGCAAAAACTTATCAAGTAGCAGCTTAATATTTACAATACTGAGATTAAACTGTTACATAACAAGGCAGTTAAAAATGCAAAGAATGACATAAATCTCTGTAACACCACATCAAGCACAAACAAGTCCATGCAGATAAGTGATTTTTAACAAATTTAAAACTTGGAATACTGCAGTTATCTTTCTGGGATTTGCATTGTCTTTAAATGTCACTATGGTTTTAAAAAATATGTACTTTTATAGTTCATATTTAGAAAATACAGTCAATAGTGTACTTCAAAACTACAAGGCAGAGGTTTAGCTCAGTGGCATAAGTAACTGCTTGGCAAGTACGAGGTTGTGAGTTCAATACTCAGTACAAAAAAAAAGTGTAAGAATACAGGGTTGAAGATGTAGCTCAAGTGTAGAGTCCTTGCCTAGCATGCGTGGCCCTGGGTTTCATCGTCACGCTGCCAGAAACAAACACACATCACAAACTGTAAGAACAAAATGATGGGCCATTCTTGGAAACCATTAGCCCTGTTATCAGGAATGGCAACTCACTAGAGTGGAAAAAAAGGCAGAAAGCATAATCAATGAAGTATAATTCTACCCGTATTCCTAAGGAGTATTTTTAAAGTACATATAAATTTATACAACATTCTGACAACAAAAACAGAAATATCTTCAAAAAGCCTAGACTAAAAGTATGACTAAGGAAGAAATAAAAGCACATTATAACAGAACTTCAGAAAATAAAAAGCCTCCATAAGAACACTGTTAGCATAATGCCAAGAGAAAAGTTCATAGACTTAATAAAGTATCAAAAAATAGCTCCCTTTCTTAGAAATAATTTATATTTATTTGAATAATTTGTTGAAACATGGTTCTTGAAATAATACAGAAACTGCTAAAAGTTAAATAAAATCAGATAGCTTAATAACTGACAATAAATGGAAGTTGCTTATATGACACTCCCAAAGAATCATTTAACCCGAAGACAGGGACACATTTATTTCTTCAAACTTTAATTGCACTTTTCAGGAATTATTTTTAGGAACAAAAAGCTAGATACACTCCTGAAAACTTGATACACAAGTCCAGGCACTGTACACAGGACTGTAGTCCCAGCTCTCTGGGAGACTGACAGCCAAATGGCCAGCCAGGCCACTTAGCAACATGGTGAGATCCCATCTAAAAAAGGAAAAAAAGCAGTTCCTGAAGGAGCTAGGGCTTATGACAGAAACTCTTACTCAACATACAGCAAACAGAACTCCTAAATGTACTGTAATGTACGCTAAGATGGCCAAGCAGCATTTATTTCTGGGACACGGAAATGCCCCAAGAAGTTGCCCCTTTTGGGGAGATGCACCATAGCAGACCTTTGGTTAAGCAAACAAACGGCTTCCATGCGACAAAAACTGCTCTCGGTATCAACATGGACAAATTTCAACAGCGTTATGTTGACTGAAAACAGTAAACTGCAGAAACAACTGCACAGTACAATGCCACATTAACTACAGAATAAGCCGGGAACCGAGACCAAATTCAGGGGAGCAGCTGCACCAAGCAAGGACCGGGTGTACAGAGTTTAAACTTACCCTCCAAAACCAAACCAAGCCAAGCCAAACCAAACCAAGCCAAACCAAACGAAACACCCTTCTGAAGCATAGATGGCAAAATACAGAAACTTGATAAGGCTAAGGGGAAGGTACATGGTTTTTATTAAATTTTCCACACTTTCGCTTGAAAATCTCTTTTAACAAATCTGAGGAAGAAAAATACAGAACTGGCCCTTCTGAATAATAAATCAGTAATCTGGAATGCAAGCTGAAGAAATGCCCAAAATATGGACAAAAAAATTGGAAGGAGACAGGATAAATACAAGAAGCAGAAGACAGAAGGAAGTGTTCTGGTGACCGACATCCTCAGGGCAAGTCCTGAGCAGGAGGACGCAGTCACCAGGACGCGCTCCGCGGGCCGGGGGCTCAGAGCCCTGGCCCTAAAGCACTCGCCACGTCCCTGACGGACACAACTCGCTCATCCTATGCTGCTGTTTAGTTTTGTTCTGAAAAGCCACTCAGGCAGGGGAAATAGACTACCTACAAAACAGGTAGATAAGCTAACTTCAGAATCCTCTGTGATAAACAGCATTAAGTCTAAAATTCCAGATCATATAGAAAAATTAGGATTTCTAAATCACCAGGAAAAGCAAAAGGCAGAATGCCAAACTGTACTTACCTCACAGAAGAATCTGAAAAAAGGTGTTTTCTTCCTCTAATCAGTTAAACATATCTTGAAGAAATTTTTAGGTTACTACTTATAGAACTGAAAAGCAACATATATGCCTTCCCTCCGGAATATAAAGGGAGGAGGAAGAGAGAAAACCCCCCATAGGAGGGACTGAAAACAGAAAAGAACACATGTGGAAAACAGTTTTTAAAATGTAAAAATTATTACTTTACATACTAATTCTATCACAAGACAACTGATTCTCAGGTTTTTAAAAGAATGCAACCACAGCTTCCTACAAAATACACTGAAAAATAACTTGGAAAACCTGAAGATACAGTTGATAACATCAAACTAAAATGTAACAACTACCCTAAATAGAGAAAAGTTTAGTAATTTATAATAAAGATACATAAAATTTAAAACAGATCAAATTTTTAAAAATAATTTTTTTTCAGATAAACTAGATGGAAGCGGGGTGTGGTGGCACATGCCTGTAATCCCAGCACTCAGGAAGCTGAGGCAGGAGGATCACTGCAAGTTCAAGACCAGCCTGGGCTACAAAGTGAACTCAATGCCAGCCTGAATTACATAGAGAGATCCTGTCTCAAAAAGACAAAAAAGGACTGGGGATTTAGCTCAGCGGCATAAGCGCCTGCCTTGCAAGTGTGTGGTTGTAAGTTTGATCCCTGGTACGGATAAAAAAGAAAAAAAAGTCAAAAAGACAAAAAAGCTTGCATGGCAAGTGCAAGGTAATGAGTTTGATCCCTAGTACCAAAAAAAAAAAAAAAAAAAGATGAAATCAAATAATGACATATAAACCACCTAGACCTAACAAGATATATATAAGACATTCCACCCAACAAGAAAACACACATAAAGCAAGACTCAATAAATTTAGAAGGACCAAAATCATACAAATGTACTGGCCAGTTACAATGAAAATGAAAACAACAGGGAAATTTGAGCAATTCACAAAAATTTAAAAATTAATCAATATACTTTATAAATTGTAAGAAAAATTAGAAAATACTATGAAACTCATAAAAATAAATGCACAGCATACCAAAATTTATGACACAGGTTAAGCTTACAGTTGTAAAAGCCATTGCTGATAGAAAAAAAATATTAAAGCTATTAAATTTTTACATAACTAGAAAAAGAAAGAAATTTGTAAAATTGTTTCTTTGAAAAGATCAACAAAATTGACAGAAACCAAGAAAAAATATGACTACCTAGGAAGATCCTTCACAAATTTAGAGTAATGAATAAATACAGGAACCAAGTCATTTAAGAAAACAGATTAATATATCCATCCCACAAAACTCTGGCACTATGGCTGTGTATCAGTCACAGCTTAGAGCACTTAATTCTCATGACAGTGTGTGGTGGGCCCTGTCACTACTCGTACATACTAATGAAGAAACTGAGACTAGAGAAGCTAGGTAAGTCCTCCGACGCTCAGCAGCAGCAGATCTAGGACTCAAGTCAGGCCCCAGCTTCCAAACAACACGCAACCAGTTATCCCACCCAAACACTTCCACTTCCAGAAATATTTTTGCTAATAAAGCTTTCAAGAGTAGGAGG